AATAAACCCTAATATTACACAAATTTTAAACTTTAATTAATTAAAAGTTTTTTAATAATTTTAAAAAATTTTCTTAATAAAGTTAATAAAGTAAATCTTTAAAAATATTTTTTATTTAGAAAGTATATTGCTAAAATTAATATTTAAAATTTTATTAAAAAATTAAAGTTTAAAAAAATAAATACAGGCAAATTTGTCTGTATTACAATTTAAGGGATAATTTGAAAGAAGAAGAAACTATCTAACTTGTTGACAGTTTAGATTCTTGTAGTAGTAAAGTATTCTAAATTTTTATATTAGACAGTAGTTTTGTGTTATATTTTTTTCAAATAGTAATGCTATTGTTTAAAGACAATTACTATTATAAATAGCTTTTATTATATATATCTCTGCTGCTGTAAACTTTCGTAAATAGTAAGCAATAGATGCAAGTATTTATTTGTATTGTAAAAGAATAGCTTCTAATATATAGTCTAAAGTATCTGTTTTTACAAAGTAAAATTTTGTAAATTTGCTTGAATCAAGATTGGGCTAAGATGAGGACTTTTTTTTAAAAAAAAAGACTTCAAGGGCTATTGCTAGTTAGTAAAAGATAAATTCAGAATCACTAGATAATGAGAAGGTGAGATAAGGTTAAATGTAATTTTTTCAAAGTGATCTTGGAAGTGCACAAGCAATAGACCTGTTTCATATATAATATTTTTTAAAGAGATTTCTTTACTATTGATCACTTTTACTGATAATAGTATTTTTTTTGAAAGAATATAATATATTTTTGAGTGAATATAGAGTCTAAAAAACAAGCTGAAGCACTCAAATCAATTTGAGCTAACATTTTAACATGGAAACTATTTGGTAACTGCAAGCACAGTTTGGGTGTAAAAGTGTTAGGCGCATAAAATTTTTCTCAGTAAACTTCTTTAATCTAAATAAAGTTATTCAAAACATAAAAATATATACTGAAAATTTTATACAATTAGAACAAATATTCACAGAGATATTTTAAATTTTCTAAAAACTCAATGTTTTAAAAATAAACTACTTGTAAAATTTTTGTATAATTTTTTAGCCAAAAATAGTAGCTTATTTTGACGACATATTATAGCATTTTCAAAGTTTATTAATAAAATTTGAAGATCGATGTATTTTATTAAAATTTACAAAGTAATCGTAAAAATTGCAAGATTTATAATTTTTAATTTTACTGGTTAAAGAGTATAAAAAAAGCAGCAAATTTAATTGTCAGAAGTTAATATAGTTTTCTATAAGGTTGGAATGCAGCTATCTTGCAAAAGAGGTTTTTATGCTAAATAAACCTTCTTTGAGATTCTAACGAATATTATAGAAATAGCTATTCCTATTCTGATAGTAGTAGAATTATTAAAATTGGTTTGGTAGTTCACGAGTAATTAGCATTTTTCCTTCATAACTATATGATTTTATATATTGACAGAAGTTTTCGGCATTCCAACATTATATGAAATTAATAATAATTCTCTGCCAATTTTACTATAAATTTATACTCCTCAACCAATTAAATATTATCAATATTTATAAATTACAGAATGTATTAATAGCCCCGACAATTCTTTTTGCAACTGGTAAAATCCTCAATTTGCAAATAAAGAATAAGAGTGGAAATGTCTTTATACGAATAATTCAAATCATACACTTATTATATGATTACTTGTATCAACTTGCCTTCTTTGTAATTGCAAATTGCCATTAAATTTTCTCTAACACTAATAATAATTTATTACATATATACATTATCTTCAATAACTATCCATACGTTAGAGGAACCGTCGATGTTACACGACTAAAAAATTATTTTACAATACCGATAATTCCGCTAGTACATGTTATGATTATAATCCCACACCATTTTATTATAATAAAAATGGTGTGGGATTATAATCATAACATGTACTAGCGGAATGATCTGGCATTTTTATATGTTGCACATCGGGTGAAGGATCAGTCACGTAACATCGACGGTTCCTCCTGTTATTAAGGAGGTAGTTCGAGCATAACATATCCTTCGCTATATAAAAGGTTCTGGGCAATAATAATAAATTATAAATTAAATTAAATTTTGAATCAATTTTGAGAAAATATTCGATATTACTTACATAATGTATGAAAAGGTCTAATTTTAAGGAAGGCATAGTTCATTCAAAAAAGCATAAATACAACACAAATAACGCAAAAATTTTTTATGTGGCAGATTACTAGCTCAGAAGAAACGAGTTGAACATATGATTAAGATTAAATAGAAATGAAATATATATGGAATTAAATCTTGATAGAATAATAACGTGAGAACAAATTAGTTTCATACTTAAGTTGTAATTATATACTTATTGGTGACAAATCTCAGTATTGAAATGATTAAAGATTTACAGTTGCATCTACTCAAATAATAATATTCGAATAAATATTCGCATGTACAGTACCATTCGTCGAGTCAGAACTCTAGTGACAACTTCTATTGTTATAAATATTACAACTCACATATATTACATTCTGTATTTATTTTATAATGATAATACATAATACTGTAATAAGGTTCTTAAAATATAATATGTAAATTAATTAACATAATTTGGGAGTTTTTGTAATAGAATAATGTAAAATATTGTTTATTATATAAAATAATATATTTCACAGGCTTTTTTATGGGTTTCATCCTGTTTATACAAGAAAAATTTGAGTATTCCATTGTAGTACGTATAAAAGTAAAATTTTATTAAATATACTCACTATATCATGAATATGTTCCTTATTCGGAGATAAATAAAAACATAAGAGTTCATTTTTATCAAAAGAGCTATTATTCTGCCATCGACATAACAGATAATCAGAAGAATTAGGATCGATGTTAGCAATATTGATAACTCCATGATTATTACATTCGAGTTGACATTTATCAAAAAGCAGGTAAGCAAATACAAGTCTTTCATTAATTTTGTTTTTTATTTTTGAGCAATAAACCTTCTCTTTGTTTATCGATATTCTTCCGAGGGAATTCCATGTAGCCTCATCTTGATAGAAATAGTTTTTTTGAAAATCTTGCCTTACATAAATAGTACTTTTCAATAAAATGATAATGGATTTGTCAATAAAAAGGCTTTAAATTAACATAGCATAAAAATAAAAATATTAATTACCAAATACATAATTTCAAAACAGGATTTCTATTAGTTATTGATTTATTCAAGTTTTCAAAAAAGGAACATGCAAAATCCTTTGAAAGAGAAAAATGAGTTCCAACTATTAATCTTAAATCACGAGGATGTAACTGTTTTTTGTTACATTCTGATAGTTCTTCTGGACTCGAATTCGTTTCTTCTACTCTATCTAAAATGCACGTTGCCAATACATATGGTTTCATATCTTGTATATCTGGCAAATTAGTTTGTTTAGAATTGTTTATAGCATATCGATTATTCTCATTTGAAAGCTTGTATCTTTCACTTTTAAGGACAACTTGATTTGATAAATCGAAATCGAAAGTTTTAGTCGGATATCCTATAATAATCCATCCAATTTTAATTTTTATGTAATCTTTTTTAGTTTTCCTTTTGCTTGGAATACGTTGAATAAGAATTACTGGCTTATCAGGAGCATCATAATATATATGTGAAGAAAATATGTGCCGATTTTTCTTTTTCATAATAGTTACAAATATTTCACAATCCTCGATGTTAGTAATATCTTTTAATTTTTCGCCTAATGGATATGGAAATGGTTCTTTATTTATGGGGTAATCAATTGATTCAATATTCACTATTATGTTTCAGAATGTAATGGTTTTAACAATAGCGTTAGGCTCATCAATTATGAAAAACAATAAAATATATTACCTTTTAAAATTCTTTTTCCTAAAGTTTCTAAAACTCTTTTGCGTAATTTGTCCCCCAATAAGTCAAAAATCGGGGTGACCTCTTCATATTCAATTATATCCCATGTATTATGATCCAAAAGTGAGTTAATCCAGTCGCAATGATCGTTGAACTTGAAAATTGCGCCATTACCACCTTTAATTATGAAGCTGGATTCAGCATTAGCTGTCGCAGTTTTTGTGTTAATTCCCGTTTTAGAAGTGAAATCTCCATCTACATTAGCTCCTGGTGATCTAAACGAGCCTTGTATACCGATTTTATCAGAGTTTTCATTTTTATCTTCAATAAAGAAATAAAATACTTAAAATAAATTTAAATAATTAAAAAACATAAAATTCGAAAATAAGCAACACATTATATATTTTTCAATTTCAGATTAGTAATCTAGTTTGTTAAGTTGATTACTCAGGTTATTCCTATTAATCTAATATAATAGAGGATCCTTATTTCCGAATCTTGCGGTAAAATAGATAAATACCAGATCTTTTTATGTCTTCATCTTTCTGAATAGCAACACCTCCAAAGTAGATTGTGTTTGCATAGAAACATCCATATTTTTTTGTTATTTCTTTAAGCTTTGTTACTTTTTTATCTTGAGTCTTTTCATTTAATGCTGCGTCAACATCAGCCTCAAATTCAGTAGTTAAACAAATATTATCCTTTGTAATTTTTATCATTGCGCATCTTTTTTTAACATAAGAATAGTTTTTTGTTCTTTTATAACATTCCAATTTTTTAGTCAAAGTTTCTTGTTCAAGTCCAAAGAAAATAGAAGCCCAAGGTAGAATGGAAGTAGCATTTCCAAATTTAATAAAATTTTGATGACATAACTTTTGAAATTCATTTTTGCATTCTAAAGTTTTTATAAAGTGCCCACTGTTATCTTGTATTTTCTCTATCTCCCTTTTGTTGATAATAAACGCGCGATTGCGAGCTTGCTTTACTGAATCTTCCTCGATAATAAACCCACATTCGCATTTGGTAGCTAATTTCACCCAATCAGGTTCATTCTTTCGGAGAATATGTAGGTAATTTCTATCATTATCACCAATTTTTAAAATTTCCAATAGTATTTTTTCATCTTCTTTTGCTTTCGAGATAAGTATCTTATCTTGATCTAAAAAATAGCAGTTCGAACCAATATAAAAGTCTATTTCAGGATTCATGATTTCATTTTCTTTTCTGATTTCAGAAAGACGACTTCCCTCGGATAATATCCAGTTAAAAGGCTTATCTTCATTTATGCAAACAATAATTTCAGAATTCTTTTGTAGAGTAGAAATATACAATTTATTATTATCTTTCAAAATCCTTGCTAAATTATTAGACTCTTCCTCATGTTTAACTATCTTCCCATTTTGCCACTTGAAGACAAAATTAATTTCATTAGTGATTTTCTTATCAACAATTGTTTTGCGAATTTTTGCAAGTTTATCTTCTGTGTTAAATTTATGTGTCAACTTTTTGTCATCAATGCAAACGTGAATTTCGCGAAATTTAAAAAAACTCATTTCGATATTTATTTAAAGGAAATACTACGTATTACTATTCTGAATGAAACTTTCAAGATTTTATATAAAAAAATTGTTGTACATGTATTTGCTGCACATAAACATAATACTCGTTATGAAGTGTACATGTATTTGCTGCACATAAACATAATACTCGTTATGAAGTTTGTTGTTTCACACGTTCAAAAATATTATACAGTCATCCCACTATTGTGATTTTTATCATATTAACATGCATCGGATTAGATCGTACTATTACCTTTTTTAAATATGTGAAAAATATATGTTACGTACGTACGTACGTACGTATCTACTGTACTATCCCCAAATCGATATAAATATCAATTTCTTAAAAATCGTGCAACAATAAACATACTACGTATTTCGTTATATGTGGGACGGTCTACTAAACAGTATAAAAGGATATTCGCTTTTATGTTCAAAATCAGTTAATGAACTATCAAATTCATAAATATCATTATGGAGTTTCTTAGAAGCGCTAACGAGATTAATCCACTTAAATTAAGAGGAGTTATAATTAGCAACGATGAAAGCTCTAGTCCATTTGATATAGAACCTTCGGATCTGAAAAAAGTTTTGTTGATGTCATTAGACGAAATGCGAGAATACTTATGCCAGGAAAGTTTGATTTTAATTGGTCGACAAAACACTAATTTTCGAAATGCGTTTAAAAATAAGATACCACTTGCTAGAGAACCTGAGTGTAAACTTAAGGATATTTTGATTCCATTAAATGAAGATGCACAAGATGGATCATATTCTTTTTACCTGGAGAAAGACTTAAGAAGACCGGGTTTTCCCGAAATTGTTAATAGACTTCGTATAGATTATGGATATAAAAAAAACAATGGTAATATCGAGTCTGCAAATGAAAAAGCTTTTCGTGTCAGAAGGCCACATATGATGGATGTTATTACTGAACAAAAACTTGAACAGCATAATGCAGAAGTTCCTGGGAGAAAGTTACTTATTGTAAAAAAAGGTTCCATTAGATTGTTGCAGGAAGATTTGGAACCTACTCAAGAATACATCGATGCAGTTGAAAATGCATTAAATGAACCAGATAATCAAAGACGAAGAGAAGCTTTGAATGCTGTGGGAGAAGAATACGGGTTTTTCTGGTTAGTATGAATTTTTAAGAAGATTTATATTATTACACTTATCATAACGAGTTTAACAACCAATAGGTCAAAAGAAATTTTGCTTGGAGGCAAACTTTACGTGGATAATGCGCAAGCCAACAATCTCACTGATTTAGAAAATTTGAAACTTTTTGAAAATTGGCAAATTATTGAACACAATGAGCTTTTGTCATTATACAATTTGTTACCGCAAAAACTTATTCTAAGGATAAAAGAGGTCATCGGAATGAAATTACTGTATTGCAATATTTTATCAATTGATATGCAAAGGAAATGTTGTAACATAACTCAACTTATCAACAAGCCACAAGAAATTTCTACATTCAAAGATGTTAAGATATTTGCTTCTGTAGTTGTGATGAATAATAAAACATCATATCGCAATGTATTTGGAATTAGAATTGATTATCAGAATGATGAAAGCCCATACATCGTAGTCACACGAATTGGTCCAGCAAAACATCATTTTAAGCTCTCAATCCCTTGGATGTTAATTGGCTATGTAGAGAATCTACCAATCGGACCAATTGAGAATGATCCTATTGATTATATTTGTACTAAAAAATTTCAATATGATAACAATAATAATGCTGATGACGGTAATGTTGATGATGGAACTAACCATCCGAAGATCCAAACAATTAGACATCCAGCTTTAAATTTTGATCATTGTTGGCTAGGAACTTGCGTTTTAAACTCTGATGATAATACCGCATATGAGTTTGGCAAAAATAAAAATGTTATGAGTTATCATTTCCGTAATACTGCGAATAATAATACACAAATATGTTGCTATAAATATGATCTCCAAACTGATCGAATCAGTAACACACTAAAATTTAAAGTTAATTGTGCTGTTATACCAGCGGCCGCTAATTTCCAGATTGTTGGCCCAGACATACATACGTGGAAGTATAGACCCTGTAGACTTCAGTATGTATTAACAAATAGTCGTACCTATACCGGAAACAGATGGCAATTACCCAATCTTCCAAATGCTATATTTGCTAGTATCTATTACGCGAATTCTCCAGATCATTCTCTTTTTTTAAACCTTCATAAGAAATATCCTATTGTCAAATCATTAACTAAAATACGTGAGAATTTTAATGCCCTTGTTGGTTATGTTATAGTATCTAACATTAATAAGATTAATACTAAAGAAAACATCAATCAAGAGAATACAAGAAACATAAGTTCACAACCCATTAATAATCGAATCAGAAATGAAGAGGATTTAGAATATAATTTTTCTTCAATCAATAACGAGTCTTTACAACATTTTTTTAACGAAAACTTTTTCAAATTAAACCATGGTCTGATTATTAGTTCGCAGATAATGTGTGTTGCGACAAACGCAGCATTTAATATTAAAATAAACCCCAAAAATTATATTATTAAAAGCTGCGCTGTAAACATATTATCATCCAAAAGCAAGAGAGAAACATTTTTATTAGAAAACAATATAAATTCTGGTTCTTTTCAATTATTGCCATCGAAATTTATCAATATAATGACACAATCAGCAAATATTCTAAGTGATAATTCACCAGTTGATGATATTTGTCTAGAAATTAAATGTCAAAAGATTATATTGAATTTTGAAAGAGAATCTATACAGCCAACCGAGATAATAAAAACAGCAGTAAATAATGCGTTACAAAGCCAGAGGCCATATCAAGAATTAATCAAAGTATTTAATCTATATGGATATATCTTATCTCAAAAGATTATTCTCGGAGAAAAGTTGTACGAAATGTCGTATTACTCATTACAAGAAACACCAGATCATAGCGGTCAACAATTAGAACTTAAAGAGTCATTTGAAATAGATTTATCAGAATTAGATGAACTTTTTGCTTTGTGGAAAAACAAATATAGATGTAATGCAACATATGTAATGTCATTATGCGGTGAAGCTGTCAAAAAAGATCATGTCAAAAAATGGATTGATGTGTATTATAAACAAGATTTTAAAACATTACAAATTATTAATCGTGATGAATTATTTCCTCTATATGAAATCTTTGAAGAATCGATTCGCCATGAAATAGAATCAATTTTAGGAATAAAAAATGAGGAAAATGAGAAAATACTTATGACAGGAATTACGCAAATTATTGAAAATACCAAATATTATCACGTAAGCTTTCCAGTTCGATTAAATAGCAGTAATTATCAAATTTTTGCAAAGATCGTTAGGACCAATAAGCGACCAAATAGTGCTATAGATACAGCCTTTGTAATAATACAATCCGCAACTAAGACTGGCTTTTTAGCAATAATTGAAAATTTTGACAAAATCAGGTAAGTAAAGAAATATTTAGCTTTAATGCAATAAATATAACATAATTTAAGTTTATACCTTTCTATTAAAAGAAATATAGATCCAACAGAATTACAAATTATATGGATGTTGGTTGGGCTGCCAAATGAAATTAACTTTTTCAGCACACATACACGAAAATTATCAGTATTAAATATGAAACATCAAGAAGTTGAATCAGATAAAAAAAGCATATTATTAGAAATTCCAGACAATTGCCCTGAAACTTCAATATTGGCATTATCATTTGAATTTCTTTTAAATTGCGATAAATCAACAAACCAGAAACATCAAATCAAACTAAATATAGAAAGTGATGTTTGTTCAGAAGATAAATTACCCGAAAGTAATGAACCCGAAAGCGATGATGATTCAAGCAACATATCAGAAGAAAGCCAAGAACACGCTATAAAATATTCTTTATATTCGTGCATTTTTGTTCTTGACAAAGATGATTTTATAGAAGCTGATATATCACCTAACGAAAATAAATTTATACATTTGAAGATAATGGGTTTGACGATCAGTTAGTTGTATTTTATTATTTATAGAGCAATGACAATAAAGATTACAAAATGATTTGAACTTATTGATAAATTTTATTTTCAACTATTAATATATGGGTGTTGGCAAAAGAAAACCTGTTGTAGAGGTTGCTTACTGGACTTGGTCTATCTGGTTTTTTAAAGCTCGAAATATAGCTTCCTTCGACAACACCCATATAGGATGTAATGGAATCATTTAAATTTCACCTTCTGAGTAGGGTACCTGGCATAGCAGTCATTGGCATGCCACTATGGCATGCCAATTGAGGCATGCCTATGGCATGCCTAAATCTCAAATAGGTATTAGGCATGCCACATATATAGAGTTTCCTTATTATCGAGAAAATCTTAGGCTAAAGCTCACTTTCGTCTCTAAATTCTTGGACCGGATCCAATAAGATTACGACATATTGTTTAATATAAAAAATATAAGAAATTATAAAAAAATATATAAATAACAAAAATTTACTAACAACTAACTTCCGATCTCTAAATAGAAGTTTTTGATATATAATTTTAGTTATAAGACAGTTTTTTATGTTAATTAAATATATTGAATTTTCTTATTCATACTATGTAGATGTAATATAATGGCATGCCAGGGTGGCATCTTGGCACCAATTTAAAAAATTGGCATGCCATATGGCACGTTAAATTTTTTGCTATGCCAGGTACCCTACTTCTGAGGTTTACTAATTTCCTCTACCACTTCTACCACATCTGATTGGTTAACTAATTAGGATAGCTGCATGACGTAGTCGCGCTTAAACCAGGAACGTAATACAATTAGATGCTTTTTGAAAGTTAATACATCTTTGTTTTCACCTTTTCAAATTTAATTATTGTTTTTAAATTTATAAAGAATAAATTCCAAATAATATAATTACTAAATTACATACATCGGGGTAATTTTTTTATATTAGAACTGCGCAGATTTTTAAGTAAATTACTTATATACAGATCTGCGCTAAACTTCATACCTGGCGGCGATCTTCAAAGAAATAATTTTAAAAATCTGCGCAGAATTTTATTTAATTAAAGATTTGCATAATTTTTAGTAATAAATATCTGCACAAATTTTTACTAGTAAAATCTGCACAAAACTTTATTAATACAATTCTGTGCAGAATTTTATTATTAAAATCTGCGCAAAATTTTTATTAATACAATTCTGTGCAAAATTTTAATAATTATATATAATTAAATTTGTATTAAAAAATCCAATCTAAAATAATAATTATCTAAACATGTAATTAACAAAATTTCTAATAATTTATAATTAATAATTTATATACAAACTAATAATAAAAAAAATTAAATAATTTATTATTTTATTTCAATCTTAATAATCTTTAAATACATAAGTTTACAAAACCAATTCTAACCCAAATTCTAATTTAATCTAATTTTATTTGATATTAAGATATTACAATATAAGTTCCAAATAGGAGGTATTATCATTTTCCTAATATTCATATTAAAATAGCTAATGCTTTATTATACTTATTATTATAATAAGGAGGTATTCCCGTAGACATAGATGTTTATTTAATATTTTTGATACAACATAAAGTAAAATACCATAAATACTATCTTCTAAACCAAAATCATCAATATTTCTAGATAATTCTGAATTTGTAATATAGAATTTTAGATCTCCATTACAATATTGATATTGCAATATATTACCATTATAGAGTTCTTCATAACATATTTTGCCTTATGAACTATCAATAAATTTCTTAATATTTCAATGAGTTGCTTTAATTTACTTTTTTAATTAAGTTCTCTAAAACTGTGCAAATATGAAGTATATAATGTCAAAATTATTAAATGACAAAAGTATATAATATAATCTATTTTATTAAATAATAATACTACAGTATAAGACACTTAAAGACTACATTTGTTCTATTTTCAAAATTTTTATATTAAAATTTGATGCTTTTTGATTTCTTGTATTCTGATTGGTCAACAATTAATTAATAAAAATAATTTTAAAATAATTTTAAAATTAACCAATAGCAAGAAGCCAAAACATGTGGCTTGTCCTATTTTTGGTTAAATTTTTACATATTATATAAAAGAATTATAATTAAAATCACCCATGGTGATAATCACCACATTACACGATAAGATCATGTGTAACATTAAATTAAATAAATAAAACTCTTGATCTAATTTAATTTATTTTTATTTTTTTTTCAGAACTTTTTGAAATCGTCATTCCTGAAGTCATCGTCATTTGTTTCTGGAGTCTTGGAGTAATTGTCTTAAAGCTATCGTTTGCTTCTGAAGTTGTTATTTGTCTTGGAGTCATCGTGTTTAGAGCCATAGTTTGTCTTGGAGTCATTGTTACTGTTGAATTTTTACTGGACACTTGGTTGTCTGGAGCTAAGTGTTTATTTTTTTTGTCTTCTTGTTTTAATATTACATTTTCACAGTATTAACTAGTGCTTTTTTTCAGGTAACGAGTATCATTTTGGTTACTGGAATATATTTGTCACTGTGCTGAATTTTTCGTGTTGTCATGCTTGGAAGTGTTCGTAGTGCTGGTATGATTCATTATACTGTTAGTATATCAGATTAGACTTGAGCTAAGTAATTTTTTTTTTTTCAGTGTTGTGTTTTCGCAGTACTAACTAACTCTTTCTTTCAGCTTTTTTAGATGATGGGTGTCTTTCAGATAAGTTATTAGAATATATTCATTGTTGGTATTGGTTTTAACATTGTGATTTACTGCACTGTTGATACATCTAATTGGTCTTTGAAGCTAAGTATTCGTTTTTGTTTTGTTTTTAGTATTGTATTCTAGAAGTACTAACCAACTCTTTTTTAGGTAACGGCTGTTATTCGAATTGGTTACTAAAATGCGTTCGTTATAAAGATCGAGTTTTTCTGGGCTGTATTTGGCATTTTGTTTATCTGTTAGTGTAGTTTGGGTTGAGTTTTTCGTGTTGATTTTTTGTTTTGCAACTTTGTAGTTGAGATTTTGTAGTTTGAAATTAGTTTTAGGGTTAGGGTTAGATTTTAGATTGGATTATATTAGATTGAGGGCTTAGTAAAAAGAAGCAAAGCGGAGGCGATAGCTGAAGTGAGCAATTGAGGTGAATAGAGTGAACTCTGAGATGTTGCTGAGTGAGCAAAGCAACACAAACCGTTTGATGTATATAGAGATGCAAAATCAGCTGATCGGCTTGTATATTCAGTATAATAAAAACTGATTAATCAATAGAGCCGATCAGCTGATTTTGCATCTTTAGTTGTATATAACTGGCATTTGCACTGTGTAATCGTTAATAAATATTTATATACAGTAGTGGCATTTATATATGTAATGGTGATGCTATTTTGACTTATTTTAATGCAATTGAATTGATGAATTTAATAATTATGATGTTTTACGTATGTATGTGTATATGCATGTTACGGGTCAAATTGGTTTTTAGGTCAGGTTAAACTTGACCCGGGTCAAATTAAACTCTAGCAGAATTTTAGGGTTAGGGCGAGCCAGAATTATGTTAATACCAGCCGGGTTTTTAATTGATCAATTTGACCTAAACTTAAAAACCAATTTGACTCATAATATGCATATACATTTGTACATTTTGATTTGGTCAGCCTGCGATCACGTGATATACGATCATCAATAACTAAAATTTTCGGTTATACAAAAAAGGTGGTGACTTCATCACGGGTTATAGTTAGTAATATTTTATATAAAAATACTATATTTTTAAAGCTATATATTTTGAAAAGTTATTACAGAGACCTCTCTAAATGCACCCTCTATAAGTGCACTCCCTCTATATATGCACCCTTTAGCACGGTCCCGAGCTTGGG